TTAAAATCAGGGGTGAAATTCTGGCCTCACTGAGGTCAAATTTTGACTTCACTATCTTCAGCAGTGCATCACTATTCTTTCTGTTTTACTGGTTATTTCTTCCTCAGTTCTATCTTTAACCTGTCTGAGAACTGTTTAAAAAAAAAAGTCAAAGGGCTGTTTTGTTTCTTAACTGAGTTTTATAGTGGCCACCTGCTTCGTGCATCCTCTAATTTCTGCTTCTCCCATTGCTAGGTTTTTCCTCACAGTATATCTTTGCTAATTCTTGTTCAAATTTTAGCATTTAATTAGCTTTTACTAGGTCCACGGGGAAGGAACCATACCTCTGTAGTGCATTTCTGCTGTAAGATGCAGCACTGCAGTGCTGAAATTCCTGTTGTGTCTGGTCATTGGACTGAATCCAATAGCTTAGATAATTACTTTTCGGGTTTTCGGTAACATCTGCATCATAATTAGCTGCACTTGGAGGCTCCAGAAAACTCATTTTTGGTTGTTTAAGTAACTAACACTATCACTTCCACTTCTTAGATGCCTTTGTCTTTTCCCTACCTGGTTCAGACTGTAGTTTTGGGGAAAAAATGTTTTTGTTCCTGTAGCAGTTTTCATACTTAAGTCCTCCAAGGGGAATAAAAGAAGATGTGATTATTTTCTACTCGTTTGTTTTAGCTACAATGAAAAGATTTTCCTGGAGTTGCTTGGGTCCTTCAGGGCAGGAGGCTGTGGGTGTGAGGGGTGCAGAAATCAGGACAGGGGCTTGGGAATATGGGGAGCTCTGGGCAAGGGGGTTGGAGGTGTGGGGGAGTGCAGGCGTCAGGGTTGAGGGATGAGGAGGGGTTCTGGGCAGGGAGTGGGGAGGTCGGAAGGAAGGTCAGAGGAGGTGGCAGGGAGTGTGAGGCTCAGGAATGGTGGTGGTGCAGCTGCCAGCGGTGCCCTGTGCTTGTTGCCTCCTCCCTCTTCCCCTCTCCTCCCGTGGCCATTCTGGAGTTGAAATGTCGCTACTATCACAGCCCTCCTTTTCCGTTTGATGAGAAACAATCCCATGCCATGCACATCCCATTATCCTGGCACAACAAAACCCTGACCTTGCTTTAAGTTATGACAAGAGGAAATTTGGGGCTCCTCGTTCTTACCATTAGGAGGCATTCTTGAACAAACAGATTCACAGACGGCTGGATGGGCAGACAAGCAGACACACAAATTCTCTCAGATATATAGTAGACTAGCAGATGTACCCAGCATTGCTTAGGGTCATTAACTGAAGTAATATTTTGGGGGGAAAATAAATGAAAAATACATGTGCTTTATTTAAATTATTGTATTTTTAAAAAATGAAGACTGGAGTGAGAGTTTGGGGGTGAGAAGCAGAGGGTGGATGGCTTTGGGCACAGTGCTGGAGGTGTGTGGCTCTGGGCAAAGGGTGGGGGTGCAGAAGTCAAGGCAGGTAGGAGGTGCAGGACTCAGGGCAGAGAGCTCAAGACATGGGGCTAGGAGGTGGGGAGGTTTACTGGGGCTGTTTGTGGCAGTGAGGGTGGTGCTTCTCCAGTGGTAACTCCTCCCAGGGGGTCAGAGCCATGCTCCCTTGCCAGTGCCCTCCCATGGCCTGCTAACTGTTTGGGGGGGACCATGCAACCTATAGGCTGTGGGGGGGCACAGGTGCTGAAGAGTGCCCCAGCCTCCAATGGCTGCCCCCTGCCCATTGCTCCAGGTTTGGGGTTGGGGGGTTCCTTATCAGTGGTAGGCAAGATGGTGGAGCCCCAGCCCTACTGGGCCACTCTTGGTGCTGCAGCTGCCCTCAGTGGCCACTCTCAGTATCACATCCCTCTTCTCTGTGTCTGTCCCTTTTGTGTTCCTCCTTTCTCCTCCCCCTCACTTTCTATGTTATGGAAATCAGTCCCATTCCTACTTCACATTTTCTAGGCACAACCAAGATATTCCAAAAAACTTTTTTCAAAAGAGAGTGTTTACACAGCAAAAGTGCATCGAAAAAGCGATCTGCTTTTTCGAGAGATAGCGTCCACTCAGTCTGGGTATGTCTACACTACCCCACTAGTTCGAACTAGCGGGGTAATGTATGCATACCGAACGTGCAAATGAAGCCCGGGATTTGAATTTCCCAGGCTTTATTTGCATAAGCCGGCCGGCGCCATTTTTAAATGCCAGCTTGTTCGAACCCCGTGCCGCGCGGCTACACGCGGCACGGGCTAGATAGTTCGAACTAGCAAGCCATTCCGAACTATCTGTACGCCTCGTGGAACTTCAAATCCCGGGCTTCATTTGCACGTTCGGTATGCATACATTACCCCGCTAGTTCGAACTAGCGGGGTAGTGTAGACATACCCTGTGGATGCTAACTCGCATTTAAGCTGTGATTACTATGGACAAAGTGGCCACCAGGGCACCTGTGCTTTTTCCTTTTTCCTCTTCTTTTGAAAGAACTCCCTCTTCCCCATCTACACATGCCTTTTTTCGAAAGAGCTCTTTCGGAAAAAAGATTTCTTCCTCGTAGAAAGAGGTTTACCAATGTCAGAAAACCCCCTCTGTTCTTTCGATTTTTTTTGTGTGTGAAAGAACGTGATTGCAGTTGGAAGTAAGCAAAGTTTTTTCAGAAAAACAGCCATTTTTCTGAAAAAACTCTGCAGTGAGCTAAGTACTTACAATGAGTTAAGTGCTTCTCCAGTTAAAATGTGCTGGGACCTTTTTTCCTGACAAGACTAATTTCTGAGTATTTATTGTACATTACAGGGACACCAACACTACATTGGGACAGAGATATCGTGGTGTCAGCATCTAGCTATGACAAAACACTATCACACAGGGTCCTGAGTCAGCATTTGAAAAAATAAGATCCGGAAGAAAATGATTTTGTAGCAAGCCATCATAAATTCACAGAGCAATGCAAAATTCTGTTTGTACTCCTTTGGCACCTATTTTGCCTCTAGGGCAAATATTCAGAAACAATTTGCATGGAATTATGAATGCAAAAATATGCATGTATTTGCATTCTGATATTGTATGTATGCTCTCTGCAATTGAATATACAACTAGGTTTGCTAAGTTTGCACATTTTATGCATGTAGCTGCACACACACTTTTCTGCAATTCTAGCCTGTATGGCACATGTTGCTCCCCTAAATGGATGGTTTTGATTAGAAGAGGATAAATGAGCCAGTTAACAGTGAACTAGTCTTCAGTGCTTTGCTCCAGGAAAGTCAGTGTCCTACCACAGAATAAAAATGGTTAAAGCTTCTCAGAGCAGCTCATGATGAAACAAACTCCAAAATGGGAAGTGTTTGGACCTATTTTTATGGCTTATTGTAGAGATAAGTACTAGCTAGCTGAAACACTAGACTGGACCTCACCCTAACAGCTTAGATTGTGAACTATTAGGGTCAGTTTTAGGGGGATTGTCTATGTGTCCCAGACTGGCAATACTGCCTATTGGTAATACTCTGAGGATAATGCCCAATGTGAAAGTCAATTTCCCTGGCACTTATAGTTGAGGGTAATATCGGCCTCTGGCGAGAGTTAAAAGGCTGCCTAGTGGGAATAGCTCAAGATAGTGTCATCAAGTGGCAAGAGTCCAACAGCCATTTGCTTAGCAGCTATAGTTCAGGGTAGAGTTAGCCACCAGTGAGGCGGGGGAACCCATATCCACTCTACTCCACCAGGTTCTAATTCACAGCCCTTCAAAACAGTGGATTGGTCCTAATCGCAATGCTGACCTGAGGGCTGTCTGGTAGGAGCTTGCTGCACTTGATTGGTCTCCTCTTGGATTAGCTCAGACTGAGTTGAGTTGCTCCCTTTTAATTGCACCCTGAATTGGTAGCATGCCAGCAGCAGTGAAGGAATTCTGCTTTAACCCTCGCCTCACCAGTGCAGGGTTGGTACACTCAGTCATAGGCAGGGTCGTTCTTTGTTCTGTGTTTGTACAGCACCAAGCATTGATGGTCCATGGCTGGAGCTACTAGGAAGTACTGCGATACTGATAATTAATGAGAAATGGAATAGGGTATTGGAGAGTCATGTAGCCAAAAATGGGTAGATGGATAGTTGACCTTTCTCCTCACCCTTGTTGAACCTTG